GGCCTGCTGTGTTCATCCAGCTCTACACCTTGTTATCTCAGAAACTCCAGCATCTGCAGTTCCTACTACCGATGAAGTAACGGTGACAGTTTCAAGTCAAGATTGTGTGAAGTTTGGAAGGAACTTACAAGTGGTGGTGTTCCTGTGTATTTGCTGCCCTTGTCCTTCGAGGTGGTAGAGGTCGTGGGGTTTGGATGGTGCTTTTGGAGAGGCCTTGGTGAATTGCTGCAGTGCATCTTGTTGATGGCACTCAGTACAAATGCAGCGTGTTTCAGTAGTGGTGGAGGTGGATGTTCTGGATATTGGATGAGATGAGAATTAAAAAGGCTGCTTTGCCCTGGATGGTGTTGAGTTTTTTGAGTAATGTTGTAGCTTCCCTCATCCAGACAAGTGAAAATCATTTCATCAAATTCCTAACTTCTACCCTGAAAATAGTGGACAGATTTCGGAGAGTCATGAACTGAGTTACTCACCACAGAATTCTTAACGTCTGACCTGCTCTTGCTACAACAGTATTTAAACAGCTGGTCAAGGGTAATGGATATTGACAGTATGGGATTCTGTGATGGTGGTGTTATTGAATGTCAAGGGGAGATGGTTACATTTCCTCTGGAGATGGGCATTGCCTGTTCTTTTAAAAAAAAAAAAAAAAAAAAAAAAAAAATTGTCTAGTCTAATATAGTTTGTTTTATTATTTAATAAGCATTTTAGAAGCACACTAACAGACACCTACGTGAATCTGTTTAATAACTGACTTCCACAGTTTTTTTTTTAGAAAAACGACAGTGTTTGTTGACGCCCACAACTGCAGGAAAATGCACAAGTACACAATTCCAGGCTCAGTTGGTCATCACATATGGTTTATGTATGATGGCATATTCAAAGGATGTACTGCGTATGTACAGAGAGGAAGCACAATTTTAAAACAATGTTCAACAGCAGGGTGTGAAGATGTTGCTGCCTTCCCCCAACACAAGCTCCCCCTCTGTCTCTACTTTCCTCCCCACTTCCTTCCCACTCTCATTTTCCCCCCCCTTCCTCATTTACTCATTTCCTCACCTCCAGCTTTCCACTCTTGCTCCCCCCACCTTGCTGCTCTCGTACTCCTGTTCTCTTTTTCTCCGCGCCTTCCTTCCTGCTCTTGTTCTCCTTTCCCATTCTCATCTGCCCCACGTCACTCTTTTTTTGCCACCTGCTGTTGCCCCCCACTTCCTTCTTGATCTTGTCTCGTTTCGCACTCCCCACAGTCTTTGCCCCCCCACCCCGCCCAGTTCCTGAGCCATGCATACCTGTGGACATGCCCTAAACCTGTTTAAATGTGCATGCGCTTATTTAAGTGATGCAGCCTTCAATAATAAATGAAGTTAGGATTAATCATGCAGGTTTAATTCCTGAATATGACTTGTCTATTATTAACATTAGCTAACATTGAGAAACAAGTTTTGTTTTAAGAAGTGACTTTTCATTGACTGAACACCTCTCTTAAAAACTTGTTTTTGCATTTCGACATGGTCACATATCAGTAGACCAGATCGCTATTCAAAAACATATGTATTGAAAGCCACTGGGGTTATGTACACATGAATATTTCCCCACAGCACAAAAGCATTCTTGAGAAGTTTGGACTAACTGAGAGGATTAATTGCTAGAGCTGCACTGGAGATTTTTCATTCTTCTTCATTTTTCATCTTCCACATACTGTAGGATAGTAGCCCGGGTTGGCAGCTCCTGCGGAAACCACAAGTGTCGTGTAGTTACATGGAAGTGTTGTTAACATGTTGAAGATGGTCTGTTCTTCATGTCCGGTTCCAATCCCATGATATAGTCCATCTTCCACCATTCCCTCAGTCTTTGTTGTTTCAAAATTGAACTGTTTCAATGTGCTTCTAACCGGCCTTCCAGCTTCTGTAAACATGAGGTCATCCAAAAATCTGCTGTCCTTCTCATAACCCTTGAATCAAGTTCCATTTGCCCATTAGCCCTCTGTTAGTTAACCTACATTAGGTCTCGGTTTAGCAAGATCTCGATTGTAAAATTTCTCATCCTCATGCTTAAATCCTTCCATGGTTTCACCTCTTTACCCGTGTCAACTTCTGCAGCTGTGCAATCATGCCATGTCTTTGCACTCCTCCAATTCAAGCCTTTCATATGTCCCAATTCTCATACTCCACTCCACCTTGCCTTCAGCTGCTGTTTTCTTAAATCCTATCCTTTAAAGCAGTCCATAAAATTTACATCTGCTACAGCTACTATTTTATTATACTTATGATTGCAAGTTATTGTTAGGATCTAGTCTGTGTGTAAAACCCAAACTTTTTATTGTGCATTTTTCTTGTGATTTTCTGCTCATATTGGACCAAGCATTGCCGAAAGGCACCCATACTTGCTGAATGGATTAGGTTGGGAGACAGTCTGCCATTCTGTTCAGTACTCTGGTCTATTGTGGGATTTTGTGTAAAGTTCAAGCTTTTGAACTGGTGCCATGGTGGTATACTATATTATCCTTCCCACTGCAAGCATTTAAAATAATAAATAGCCATGTTTGATGTTGTATAATTACACTAAAATCCAATTCTGTCCTCCTGAGGCAGCAGCCAAATAGAGAGAAAAGACGACAAGCAAAAACCTTTTGATGTTGGCACCCCAGAGTATGGGTACGAATTAGAAATTTTCATAGCAGCTGTGTTACAAAAGAGCCATGTTCATATGGTATGTCTTTCGTCAGTGACTCATGCACCAGCTCATTTGCATTTAAAACATACTGAACTGCTGCCTTATTTGGGTCAGCATGTTAAAACCTACCAAAGATTGAGAACTCTTTTAATTGTTGATACTGGAAGCTTATTTGTATTGACTACTACTAATTCACTGCTACCTGTTTAGTTCAGAATTAAATTTTTAAGAGCTGCGTTTGTGTCAGCACATTACTTTATTGACTGTGAAAGTGTCTTGGCTCCTATAGATCAAAACTGATTTCTGTGCATCTGTGTCAAATTCTGTCCAGCACAAGGTCACGTTGCATCTGATCCATCCCTAGAGATAATTACTCATTTTCTCCCTCTCAAGAATAACTGTGCTTCTGTTGCCTGAGGGCATGCTGCTTCCTGGTTATGCCCTCTCAGCTAACATCCTGAAGGTGCTTGAGTCAGTACTATTGTCACACGCCAGTGCAATTTGGCACCAGGTATTCTTTGGACTACATGCCTTCTCAGATATGGCTGATGTACTTTTGTTAACTCGGTATGGGTTTAAATGTGCTACATCTTAGAGGTCTGTTTTCATAATAACAAATGCTTGATAATTGACTTGACAGTTGGCTTCCATCTGAATTCCTGTTCTGATTCCTAAATCATACTTCCATCACCCCAAGCAATCTGCCTGCGACATGCTGTGTTGACATTTTGGAAGTTCAAAAGCAGTTTCCTCACATTAAATGTGGAAGTTCTCCCCAATTCATTTGTGTGTTTGGATAATAGGCCTATGTCATGATACTGACCTACTGTAATAATAGACACGTATGCAAATTCTGAGTATTTTTGTATGCTTTTATGGAAATATAGCGCCAGTAAAACTAAAGGGTTAATACAATGAATTAGCGTTCGCTTCCAGTTTTTTGTCCAATTATTTTATTGTCCTTGTCTGAAATTTTTACCTGTAATTAGCTCAGCTTGAAGTGCTGTTCAAATGAAATCTCCAATAAAATATCTCAATGATATTTTGTAGAAGAGTTTACTTTCATTTGAAATTTTATATCCATTGCTGAATACTTTTTCAATGATTTTGGTTTGAACACAGTACGTTTCAATGATAAATGCATGAAAGATGAGTTTCTGTGTACCTCAGTGCATGTTTGTAGTTATGTCACATTCAGAATATTGACAGTATCTGATTTAATTGTTGATTTGTCGCATATCTTCAGTTTTAAATCTAAATTTTACTTTACCAATAATTTTAATGGCTTCAGTGTTTTTTTAGATAACTTCCCCAAAAAATTCATGAAATGATATTGTTAAGGTCTTTCAGCTCTTAAAGACCATAGGCTCAGGAGTGGGAAATGTAGTGGTTCATTGTCCAAATGCACAACTGAAGGAGGGAAAACTGCCCCATTTAGTGTTAACTTTCTATCACTTGTATTTTTGCATGTGCTCATTTTACATAAGACGTCATATACTATGTCAGTTGACTTAAAAGCCGTTTTTGTTTGCAAGTTCAAAATGATGATACAACATATGTTGAGCAGATTGTTTGGGGGTGGTAGAAACAAGACATTCAGGAAAACCTGTGGGGTGAATGTAGTAATTGATTGCATTCAAGATCTTTGAACTCTGCTTTATTATCTCTCAACTTCACCAGAATGCTTCTCAGTGTAAGCATGTGGTTATTGCATTCCTTAGTCATTTATTATATCATTAAACCATGAGAAATAGGTACAGGTGTAGGCCATTCAGCCCCTTGAACCTGCCCTGTATTCAATAGGATCACAGCTGATCCAACATTCCGCATGTCCACTTTCCTGTGTTTTGCCTGTAATCCTTGATTCCTCTGTTATTCAAGAATCTATCTCAGCCATAAATATAAACAAGTACTCTGCGCCCACAGCTGTCTGTGGCAACGAATTTCAAAGGCTCTCAACCCTCAGAAGAAATTCCTTCTCATCTCACTCTGAAATTGGTGCCCGTTTATTCTGAGACTATGTCCTCTGGTCCTAGACACTCTCATGAGAGGAAATATCCTCTCAGCATTTACCCTGTCAAGCCCTTTAAGAATCTCACATGTTTCAATTAGATCACCTCTCATTCTTCTAAACTCCAATGAGTAGAGTCCCAATCTGTTTAATCTTTGTTCATAAGACAATCCCTCCATCATCCTATTGAACCTTCTCTGAACTGCCTCTAATGAAATAATATATTTCCTTAAATAAGAGCACCAAAACTTCTCTTAGTACTCCTGATGTTCTCACCAGCACCTCATACAATTGGAGCAAGACTTCCCTACTGTTATTTTGAGGGAGTTGGAGTGTAAGGGCCAACGTTCCATTAGCCTTTCTGATTACCTGCTGTACCTGTGTGCTAGCTTTGTGTTTCATGTACAAATACCTCCAGGCTCCTTTGTAATGCAGCTTTCTGCTGTTTCTCTCCATTTAAATTATGTTCTGATCTTTTGTTCTCCCTTATTAAATGAGCAACTTCACATGTCTCCACAATGTATTTCATTTGCCAACTTATTGCCAACTTACTTAACCTATCAATAACTCTCCGTGGAGTAAAATAGAAAATGCTGGGAATCTCAGCAAGTCTGGCAGTTTCTGTGGTGAGAAATCAGAGTTAATGTTTCAGTTCCAGTGATCTTTTTTCAGAACGCATTGGACCTGAAATGTTTACACTGATTTCTCTCCACAGATGCTGCCACACCTGCTGAGTTTTTCCAGCAATTTCTGATTTTGTTTTTGTTTGATTTCCAGCATCTGCAATTCTTTTGTTTTGTTTTCCTCTCTCAAACTGTTTGCATTCCTCTTGTGATCTACCTTTCCACCTATTTTTACGTTGCCGACAAATTTTGCTACAATACATTCACTTCCTCCATGTCACATTATAGTCCAATACAAGTCTAAAAGTAGTTCATTTTCTTTATCCCTCTGTGGTCTGTATGAGACTGAGATTTGGGCCAAGACAAAAATTCGTTCCTCAAGACCTTTTATAGCCAGTGAGATGATTTTTATGAACTTTAGTTGCATTTATTACAAAGTACTTGTTTCAAAAAGTGAAGATGAGTCTTGTTGAAATGTGATTAAAGCCCCGTATTTGAAATTAAATAAATCCTCTGCACTGTAATCCATCCCTATGGTTTAAACCCCTTTAATTCATGCCTGCTTTCTTCGAAGATTTACTCTTGTATTTTGCCATCATCTTCTCTTTAACAATCTTTGTGATTGAGTGTATCCCACTCAACTCCAGTCATGTTCTAAGCCGGTAGTACTTTTCCAATTAATGCCTTTCATTTTACCAATCCAACTTTACTCAAATCTGGAAGATGGGGTACAGCAAATTAATTGCATTAATCTGGGGAAGGTTCTTGCTTGACTTGAAATATGAACTTTTTTTCTCTCTCTCTCCATGATTATTGCTGGTCCTGTTGAATGTTCCCAGCACTTTTTTTATTTCAGATATCCAGCAGTCTATGAATTTTTATTTTAACCTGCACTGTTTGGTTCTATTACTTCTCCCCCAAAGTTTTTCTTAATAGATGTTTATCTTTTTTTTTCTCTGCATGTTGTCACTGCTTAGTCTGTAGCTTGCAGTCAGCATTGCAGAAGTATAACACTAGCTCCAGTGTTTGCATGATATATGCAAATTGGTTTGTCATGGCTATGATTGACGAAGAAACTCCTAAAACCCCTTGCTGTTCATCAGCTATTTCCCTTCGTTTCATGGCTTATAGCTGTTTGTCTCACCGAGTGAATAAAGTGTCTGTTTAGTCATTGATTCAACCTAATTAGCATTTCAGAACGTTTGAATGACTATAAAAGTATTTTGAGTCAGTTTCCAATTACGACTGCATAAAGACGATGTGAAGTTCAAAAGACGCATTTCAATATACGTGTATTCTCATTTAACAGGTGCTCTCGTGGATCAAGCAGTTTTTGAAGAATTTATTCGAAGCCACCTTCCTCAGTTGACTGAACACATGACAGACATGACTTTTTTTTCGTCTGTCTCCTTATCCTGGTTTCTCACTATCTTCATTTCTGTGTTGCCCATCGAAAGTGCAGTAAATGTCGTGGATTGCTTTTTCTATGATGGCATTAAGGCAATCCTGCAGCTGGGCTTGGCAGTTCTAGATTATAACATGGACAAGCTGCTACTCTGCAAAGATGATGCTGAAGCAGTGACGATCTTGAACAAGTATGGCTCTTGATTTTTTAAATTTTGCTTCACAATTTCTGAGGGAGTAGTATTTAAACATCTATAGTAAGAGAGATGTATACTTGCTCAAGGAATCAGGATGTAGTCTAATCTTCAAGTGAAACATTATTGGGGAGAGGGGTGGCGGGTTTGCAGTTGGACCTGGCCGCAGATGTGATTTGTTCCCCAGTTAGAATCTGTCTATTCTCTTATTTTTAAATTTCCATTGAGTGTTCTTGGACAGAATAAGACGCTGCACAGAGGTGGGATAGGAAGTGGGAGCTGTACAATGGGACAGGAAGATGCAGGATGGAAATCCCACTGGTCCTCTTGATTCTCCTTCCCTCTCATATTAAGTCCAGAGCATTCAAACTTGCAGCAGGAGCAATAGGACTCCCTTGCTGGTCAAGAATCTATCTACCTCTGTCCTAAAAATGTTCAGTTATGCCTCCACCACTCCCTGGCGAAGAGATGGCCAGAAACTCTCAAGCCTCAATTCTTCTTATCTCTGTCTTAACTGAGAGAAATAAAAATTTAGACCCCACTGCCAATCAGTTAAGTTGCATTGAATTGGCTCAGGGAACCTGAAATGGCAGCAGCATGGTTGCTAGAAGTTCTCCAGCCATTGGTTAGGCCCACTGCCCTGACCACTAAATTCAGCCTTGGACTCTACATTTACTTTACCACCTGAGGAAACTTGTAATTACACCCTCCTACTAATGGTGGTCCTGAAGTGCCTGCACTTGAAGGAGTGTGTACTTAGTGTGAGAAGGATATATATTCTTACGTGCAGTTTTGAGATCTGCAAATAGATGTCTGCCTGCATATATATAAGTCAATATTTTTCCCGTTTAGCCTTCAACTGTTCTGGGCATCTACCCCAAACTTATGCCTTAACTTGCTGGCAGCTTTTGCCCTACCCTTAAGGCCTCAATCTGACAAACTGAAGTCACATTGCTTGGTTTAAAAGGATCCATGGGAGCTGGTTGGCTGTTGTAATGCATGTCTTTTTGTAATTGTACAGGGTATTGGCGAGGCTACACCTGGAGTGTTGTGTGCAGTTTTGGTCTCCTATCGTGAGGAAGGATGTGTTTGCTATTGAGGGAGTGAAGCAAAGGTTTTCCAAATTGATTCCTGATATGGCAGGACTGACATATGAGGAGAGGTTGAGCCAGCTAGGATTGTATTCACTGGAGCTCTGAAGAATGAACTGGGATCACATAGAAACCTACAAAATTCTAACAGGATTAGACAGGAAATCGGGAACAAAGTTCCTGATGGTGGGGGAGTCCAGAACCAGGCGACATAGTTTAAGGATAAGGGATTGGGTTGGGGAGAAATTTCATCACCCAGAGAGTGGTGAACCTGTGAAATTCTCTACCAAAGTGATTGAGGCCAAAACTTTGTGTTTACAGGTAGGAGGTAGATATACCTCTTGTAGTTAAAGGGATCAAGGGATATGGAGGGAGGGTGGGATGAGGGTATTGAGCTTGATGATCAACTGTGATTGTAATGAATGGCAAAATAGGCTTGAGGGGTCGAATGGCCTACTCCTGCTCCTATCTGTGTATCTGTGTTTCTATATGGGCATCCAGTGTTCGTGGACTCAAATTAGACTCACCCAAAATTAGTTCTCTCTTCCCTGACCACAGTGCTAAACATGCTTGTATGATTTATAGAATTCTATCCTTTATATTATTAAATAAGTTTTCAAAACATAGTTATAGAATTAATCTAGCATACTTTGTTGCAAGATTTAATTATACCTAGTTTGAAAGTTCTGCATGTTCTTCAGTGGTTGGCTATGTCATTTTAATGCCTTTCTCAATAGCAGTATTAAATTTCCTTGCAGGTTTTTTGATAATGTCACTAACAAGGACAGCCCTTTACCACCAATGGCTCATCACCCCCCCATAGGCAGTGACAATCAGGAACCTCAAACTAAAGTGGATATAACTGAACTTATTGCAGAATCTTATGAGGTTGGTGAATAAGACTGATTCTTTTCCAGTGTTAATATAGAAAAATATTAATAATATAGTGCAATGCCTGAATCTGGAATCTTTTTACGTTAGCCCCGACTGATTTCTCTTTAACATCGTCCCCTCCCATCCGAAAAGAAAAATAGTCAGACTGACTGTAAAAAATGCCCAGTAAGTTGTATTGTTAGAGACTTCCCAAGCTTTTAGTCAGTAAATCATCAATAAATTATGTGAAGTTGATTTTATTTTCTATTTTTGCAGAAATATGGTGATATTCAGTCAATGGAAGTTGAGAGTATGCGGCGTAGGAACAGGCTATACGTGATTCAGACTTTAGAAGACACTACAAGACAGAATGTGGTAAATTGTACTTGGCCTTTGAATAAGTGAAAAGCCCATTATACTATTTATTTCTTGTGTGGCGAATGGAAGTTTTCTTCGGACCTAAGGGAATTTGACTTACTTTTGCTGAAAACATTTTTTGGCATTTGCTGACCTACTTAGCTCTGCTTACCCTCAAGTGTATTATTTGTAAAGTGGGAAAAAACTGTTTTCAGACCCAAATAATCATCAAGTAGGAGGACAAATGCTTGCCGATGATTCACAAAGTTGGTTAGGAAGTGACTTAGATCTGAGGTCTGTCCTAGCCCTGTTCTTTAACCAGATGATGCATGAAGGTAGCTCATGAATATTCTAACCTTCTCACCCTGGTTATGAGAGGAGTAATGAAATTCACCTTGCTTAGCCACCATGTTCTCTCCAATATCATGATGCGCTGATGTCTGCACTGTGGCGAGGAGTTCATACTGAGATCCCAAAGTGTGCATTTCTGTCTGTAACCTGTTAAGTACTTAGGAGGTGCTCAGTTACCTGGCAATGTTTACATACAAACATATAAAACTGAAGGCCAAAAAGATGGCCCTGCAAGACTATCAAGTAGTGCCATGGTGTGACTTGTATCCATCGGTAGACCCATCTAGCAATACTGACACTGCAGCCATTCTCGCAGGAGAAGTTAACGAGAGAATTTATGGAACCAATTTATGGAACAACTCTAGGAAATTCCTTATTCACCTCCTTTCCCTCTCCCCACTTCCAAATACACCCTTTAATGACTTCAGTGACTGAGAACCACCCCTTCCTCCTTTTAATCTTCAGGCACTAGCCGTTCTAATGAAAATATTTGATGGCTAAACTGTTGATTCAAACGAGATTATCCTTATTTCTCTTTTGAGGTTCTTCTTTTAAACACCTTATTTAAATGAGAGCAATTGTGTATTATTTTAATTTGGTTAATTGAAATGGATTATTTGCAGGTCTGCCTGATATTGTAAGGTCTTTGTTTTTATTGTCAAGATTGATATCATTCTCCACAATGTTCGACGCTACCTCTTTATTTTCAGTTTTGATCCGTGACTTATTTTCAAGTTGATCATTTATTACAAGTTTTTAAATCTATCACTAATTGATCCAGGATGTAACCACGACAGCAAAGTAGTTATCTTAACCTGCTGCATTCTACTTAAATGCACGTCAAGAACAGAAAGTCAGATGTTTTTTGAGATTATTATTTGATCAGATATTTGACAAATTATTAATTGCATGTTTATTTCTTAATTTAGATATTTCATAAATGAATACCCTTGGTCTTTACTGATAGAAAATAAAGTGGTATGTTAGTGATATTGCAGTCTGATTTGGACATGATGTATTGACTCTCATTGTGTTATATTTAACATTGTCAACCCTTTGTATGATTCAGCTGCGGGTTGTATCTCAGGAAGTGATGTTCAGCCCTAAAGAACTGGAAGACCTCTTCGAGCTGTTTAAGGTCACTCATTCATATTTGTTGCTTTTAGAAAATTGTTTGTGTACTTTAGCAAAGTTCTATAAGCAGTCATTTCCACTAGTGCATCAAGCAGATATCTGTCACAGTACCCTTTTTAAAGTGACATTTAGCAATGTGGCACATCGGAGCTTCAAACACTGAGACAAAAATCTGTGACTGAAATAATCACTTAACTCTTGAGTTGCTGATTTAAGTATTTGTCTAAAATTCAGTAAATTCCACTTGAGTGAACCAAGAAACAAATAATTTCTTGACACTTTTGGGCTACCAGTTTCTTTCTTTATTCAGGTTAGCAGGTTAGTGTATGAATCTGGTAATATTTATAACATAACCACATTTCTATATTACAACATGATCAGACTTTCAAAAGTACTTCACTGACTGTAAAGTACTTTCTGCTGTCCCATGGTTTTGAACTGAGCTATATAATTCAAACGTTTGTTATCTTTTTACAGCAAAGGGCAAAACATGCATTTACTTCTGGTGGGTGGAAAAAGTGATCTGCACTTAGAGATGCCCAGAAGTTTCAGTACATGTATCCTTCGCTTGTGCATTTCTGAGTTTAATCACTCCACTATCGGTAGCCATGCCTTTTGATGCCTGGGTCCCAAGCTCTGCGATCGATACACTAAACCTCTCCACAGCTCTTTCTTCCTTGACCATACTCCTTAAAGACCACCACTTGGATCACACTTTGTCATCTACCCTAATATCTCCTTATGTGTAGCTCGGCCTCAAATTTTGTTTGATAACATTCCTGTAAAGTGCATTGGGACAGTTTATTACATTAAAAGTGTGATATAAAATTCAGCCCTATTACCTGACTATGTCTGTCTGTGTGCCTCTGCCCCTTTTTGCACCTCTATCTGTGCATGCCCAACCCCCTCTCTTTTTTTCCACTCCGTAGCGCCTCTCTATCTCTCTCACTCTATCATTATGTATTCCACTCTCGCTCTCTGTGAGGAAACCTGAGATGCCCTTGATTCGGATATCTGATTTTTTTTGGGAGAAAGAAATGAAGGATTGTGTGATCAGTTTAATGCTGTTTACTTTCTGTTTGGACTTTTTGCTAATTATGATTTTGTTAAAATTTAATCGATCCAATATTTTGCATTATTCGGGTTTTCTGAACGAGCTGGATTTTTGTATGGGAGACTACACATGTGGCTAAATTAGCTCAAATAAGAGCATACAAAATAGGGTTTGGCCATTTAGTCCCTTGAGTGTGCTCCGCCATTCGGTATGAATTTGATTGATCTACTTGATTCTCAACCTCAGTCTCCTGCATATTACTCATACACCTTGGTGCAAGAAACCCTTTATCTCAGCTTTGAATATTTGAAATCCAGACTCTTTTTATCTATGGTAGAGAATTCATGAACCTCTAAGCAAAGAAATTCCTATTCATCTCTGTCTTAAATGGGATATCTATTTTAGGTTCCCCCATGTGTGAAACCATCTTCGCAGCACCTGCCCTGTCATGCCCCTTCAGAATCTTGAATCTTTCAGTCCGAACATCTGTCCTTCTCCTAAGTCCAACCTGCTGAACAATTCTCCATAAAACGACCCCTTTGCCCCAGAAGCAACTTAGTAAACCTTCCCTGGAGTACAGTATATCTATTTTAAATAAGGAGACCATAACTATTCTTCATACTGTGTGGTCTCACCAGTGCCATGTCCCTACTTCTGCACTTCATTGCCATTGAACTTAAAATCAAATGTGTCTCTTCCTAATTACTTTCTGTATCTGCATGTTAACATTTTGTGATGAATCCCAGATCCCTCTGTGCCACAGCATTCTGTATTCTTTCTCCAATTAAATAATACTAGTGTTTCTTACTTCCTAACCAAATGGTTTACCTCACCTATTAGACTTCTTCTGCCAGATCTTTGCCAGCTCACAACCTTTCTAAATCCCATTGCAGATGCCTTGGCCCCTTCAAGTTTTTTTTTCACAACTTCCTTTGTATTGTCTGCAGATATGTCTATAATACGCTCAGACCCTTCTTCCTAGTCATTGGGATTGGTAGCCCTGATCTTTCTAGCACTGAGTTTACCAACCTGAAAATAACCCTATTCAAATTGGCAGGCAGGAACTAGTGGGGATTGCTGCTGGGACCCCAGCTATTCACAATATATATCAATGATTTGGATGAGGGAACAAAATGTAACATCTCCAGGTTTGCAGATGATACCAAGTTGGGTGCGAGGGTGAACTGTGATGAGGATGCAGAGATCCATCAGCTTGATCTCGACAGGTTGGGTCGGTGGGCAAACCAATGGCAGATGCAGTATAATTTGGATAAATGTGAGGCTATTTACTTCAGAAGCAAAAACAAGAAGGCAGATTACTACCTGTATGGCTGTAAATTGGGAGAGGGGGATGTACAATGGTTCTTGGGCGTCCTTGTGCACCAGTTGCTGATGGTAAGCATGCAGGTACAACAGGTGGTAAAGAAGGCAAATGGTGTGTTGCCCTTCACTGCGAGAGGTATTGAGTACAGGAGCAGGGATGTGTTGTTGCAGTTTTACAGGTCCTTGGTGAGATCACACCTGGAATATTGTGTGCAGTTTTGGTCTCCTTTTCTGAGGAAGGATGCTCTTGCTCTTGAGAGAGTGCAGCGAAGGTTTACCAGGCTGATTCCAGGGATGGCGGGTCTGACGTATGAGGAGAGATTGACTGGGTTGGGATTGTTTTTGCTGGAGTTCAGAAGAATGAGGGGGAATTTCATAGAGAATTATAAAATTCTAGCACAACTGGACAGGGTAGACGCAGGGAGACAATGTTCCCAATGGTGGGTGTGTGCAGAACTAGGGGTCACAGTATGAGGATTCAGGGTAGATGATTTAGGACAGAGATGAGGAGGCATTTCTTCATCCAAAGAGTGATGAGCCTGTGGAATTCATTATCACAGGAAGTAGTTGATGCCAAAACATAGAAGGTATTCAAGAGGCGACTAGATATAGCACTTGGGACGAATGATGTCGAAGGTTATGGTGAGAAAGCAGGATTAGGCTATTAAGTTGGTCGATCAGCCATGGTCATGAAGAATGGCGGAGCAGGCTCAAAGGACCAAAGAGCCGCCTCCTGCTCCTATATTCTATGTTTCTATGTAACCCATTATATCCAAGTTGCTAGCATCTGTTTGTTAGCCAAACCTCTGTTGATGCTGTGTATTATCCCTAACACGTGAGCTTTTGCGCAGTCGGAGACATTGTTGAATACCTTTTGGAAATCCATTGCTTGAAATGCACTGCATTACCTTTATTCAATCTGGTTGCTTATTCCTAAAGTAGCTGTAAATCTTTTGTCAAATGCAGTCTTTTTTTAAATGAAACATATTCAGTCTACTTGATTGCATTTTCATGTGCGGAGTCCCTCCTATTACTACTACTTTAACCTCCCACCTTTCTTGAATAGGGACAGAACATGTGTTTTCCAATCTATTGGGATCTTTTGAAAAATTGGCAGCACAGTAGCTCAGTGGTTAGCACTGCTGCCTCACAGTGTCAGGGACCCAGGCTTGATTCCAGCCTTGGATGATTGTCTGTGTCGAATTTGCACATTCTCCCGTGTCTGCATGGGTTTCCATCAGGTGCTCCGGTTTCTTCCCACAGTCCAAAGATATGCAGATTAGGTGGATTGGTCACGCTAAATTGCCCCATAGCTTCCAGGGATGTGCAGACTGGGCAGATTAGTCATGGGAAATACAAGGTTATGGACAAAGGTGGGAGCCTGGGTCTTGGTAGATTGCTGTCCATTGGCCAAATGCTCTCTCTTCGCACTGAAGGGATTCTGTGATTATGACCCAAGCGTCCACTATCTCTGCAGCTACTGCTTTTATGACCCAAGGATATATGCCACCAGATCCATGAGAAGCCAGATTTTAGTCCTCTTCATTTGGCGAGTACGTTTAGATGATTGTTTTAAGTTCCTCCCTCCTTTTCTCCTCCTCCACCCCCACCTCCCATTTTTTTTTTTGGGATCTTTTACAATGTAGACAGATACAGACTCTTTGCTGATTTTCCTTGTTTCCCATTATTAATTCCCCAGTCTTAAAGGAACCAACATTCACTTTTTTGCTAGTCTATTCTGTTTTTATATTTTTGTGATAGCTCTTACTGTTTTTTTTAATATTTTCTCATTGATTGTTTTCTCTCTATTGTTCCTCTTGATTTGGTTTTGTTTTCAACATTGCTATTTCTGCATTTTTCTAAACTTGTGGCATATCACTAATGATCTTAAAATTTATGTTTCATTTAAGTTGATTCCATCTTTGTCCTTAGTAGTTAGCACAGAAAGTTCACTGTTGTCAGGAAGTCTGTCTTTCTCTATGGATTATAGTTTTGTTGAGCATTATGAAGCGTAACTTTAAATGTCTACCAATGTTTAGCTTCCATCTTAAACTGTCTTAAGATGTTTCATTATTGGTGCAGTTACTTTATCATCTGAGACACCTAACTATTTCTCTCTTTTTCTTTTGTAGAAGGAACATTTTTTAAGTTGTTACTGGATTCCACACAGTCCAGCACTCAAGCACCATGATTCTAGTCTCCCATACCTAGAGCAGTACCAGATTGACAGGAAACAGTACTGCACACTTTTCAGGCATCTGAGTCCATGGTCCCACTCTGCAAATGCAGACCTATTAGCTCTGTGGAGTTTTCGGCTTCTGGATGAGAATGCTGACTGCCTCATCAATTTCAAAGAGTTTTCATGTGTTCTAGGTAAAACACTTTGTGTTTTAGACTCTGGTTAACTTGCTAAAGCTTCTTACCTACAGCATTCTTAGTTCCTGTATAATGTGATGGAAAGGTATCTGTACCGAATGCGGTCTGCCTTTGTGGTTTCTGGAATCTCAGGTCTTCAGCACTACTGTTGATCATGGAATAGGGGTATTGTTTCATACTGAAGCTGTGTAGAGGCAGCCTGATTTGGGAATTGATGTTCCCTAAAGGAGGAATTCTCGGTTTGTAAATTTTGAAACTGAGATTTCTCCATCTCTGCTTGTTTTTCTATTATATCTGGTTCAATGTGCTGTTTGAGAGGTGCTGACATGGCACAGATCTCACTCTCACCTGTGTTGAGCCAGTTAGTTATACTTGAGGTGGGGAGCAATTGTCTTTGTGCCACTTGGCAATGGAAGGGTGATTTTAAGCTTAGCCATTTAAGAGTAAAATTAGAATGCATCTTTCCATACAAAGGGTAGTAGAAATCTCAAATTTTGCTCACCTCTCGAAAGGCTGTAGATGCTGGGCTAATTGAAATTTTGAATACTGACTTTTTTTGGTTCAGGATATTGAGGGATTTTGAGCAAAGACAGAAAAATGGAATTGAGGTAGAATTAAATGTTGGAACAAATTTGAGGGACTGAATTGCCCACATCCTTTCCTAGGTGAGTCACTTCATAATGTAAACAAGGACGTTTTGAAGAAATGGTGTAAGCTTCAGTCTGTTGCTGTTGATGCATGACATTCAGTGAGAACTTCACACATTTTGTATGAAATATAAAGGACAGCTTGTCTTTAAGTCTTCCATAAATCCTTAAAGGATTTGAGGTCATGAGTAACAAATATACTAATTCAGTTTTATCTCTTGCAGATGTGATGTATAATGGATCATTTACAGACAAACTGAAATTACTTTTTAAATTGCATATTCCACCAGGTAAATCAAGTAATTACTAAAAATCCACTAAAGTGTGTTACATAATTAACCTCGATAAATGTGTACTGTTCTTGAAATCCCAGAAAGATTGTATTTCAACTCCAGTAATTATGGTTGGCAACAGTTCATATTATAGTGAAGATCTGACATTTAGTATTCAACAAGGATGGCAATTTTATTTAAGCACATAATTACCATTGCGATAAACTGAAAGTTAGAGTTATCCCATGACTCTTTGAAAAATGTACCATGTGGCTGTCATTCAGCATAGAATTAGCGTGTCTATGATTTAGCCTGTCAAGATCTGAGGGGTGTCAGTGTCATCCTTTGACCATTATGTTCACGAGATAACATTTGATAATGGGAAGAGGTGAATAAAGTTAAGTATTTCTCTTCACTAATTTTATATTTACAATGCTTTTTGCAGTAACAAAATAGGTGAGTGTTAGCTTTATTAGCATTCTTTTTTGACTATCAAAGTAGTGGGTTCAGAACCCACTGGAGATGGAGTGCATCATTGTAGCTGATGGTTCAATTTCATGCTGCAGGGCGAGTGGATTACAAGAGGTGTTATCTTTTGCATGAGATATTTAAACAAGGCCTCACCTAACTGTTTAGGTAAAAGAAATTGTGCAATTGAAGTTGCAAACAAATGCTCTCAACATCATTGCCAACAGTTATCGTTTGGCTTGCGCCCCACAAATCGTTCCTAATCCCCTGTCTGTTTTGCTGTTAGTGGACATTGGTGTTGCATTTACCAACAGAACCATGACTAACTTATATTTTGGCTGTGGGTTATGCTGAAATGCCCTGAGGTGGTGCCATTGCATGTACTTAGTGCATTATTGATGTGTACAGATTTAACTGCTGGTCTTTTTCTTACAGCATTCACAGAAGATGAAAGTGCAATTCCTGCAGCTTCCAAACAGCCAGAGCCTTTTGATGAACCGTTGACTCAAGGTGATCACCTTGATGGTTTGTATTGGCTTTTTAGTGTGTCTAAATCAGCAAAGTATAACTAATCAAATTGATTCCTGACCTCCGCTCTATAATTGTAGGAAGATGCAAAATGTGCACAAGCTCTTCTGCTGTGTCTCATGATAGATATAAGATGACCATTTTGGAAATTTTAACACTGAGATGATTTTAGTTCCAATATAAAACTTTGGCACAATTAACTAACCAAGGTGAATAAAACATCCAAGCTGCAATTCTTCGTCTTTTGAATGGCATACTTCATTGATCTCAGAGGGGAAGTACGATGGGAGCTGTGAATTTAACCTTCGTATTATGGAGTGTTTGTTTGAAAGAACTCACTTTAAAATTAGGAGATCAAAGTTTAAATCCCATTTTGACCTTTTCCTTGAGCTTCCCTATGTGCAGTGAAATGAAATTTTAACACTGAAGGATTTTAGTTCCAATGTAAAACTTTGGCACAACTAACGAACCAAGGTGAACACCCAAAATGAAGGTAAAGATTAGGGTGCAACTGCTGTCCCCTCATTCTGATGCTGACAGGAAGCCTGTGCCCACTACAGGACCGGGCCTTAGCACTAAGCTATCAGTGAACTGCGGATGTTCTGCTTCATAGAACATAGAACAGTACAGCACAGTACAGGCCCTTTGGCCCACGATGTTGTGCCGAACTTTTACCCTAATCCTAAGGTCTATCTAACCTCCACCCCTACCTTATACTATCATCCATATGCCTATCTAATAGCCGCTTAAATGCCCCAAATGAGGCCGACTCCACTACCCTCTCCGGCAATGCATTCCATGCCCCTACCGCGCTCTGAGTAAAGAACCTACCTCTGACGTCTCCCCTGTATCTACCTCCAATCACTTGAAAACTATGCCCCCTCGTAATAGCTACCTCCACCCTAAGAAAAAGTCTCTGGCTGTCCACTCTATCGATACCTCTGATCATTTTGTACACCTCTGTCAAGTCACCTCTCATTCTTCGTCGTTCTAAAGAGAAAAGCCCTAGCTCTCTCAACATTTCCTCGTAAGACTTTCCCTCCATTCCAGGCAACATCCTGGTAAATCTCCTCTGCACCTTTTCCAACACCTCCACATCTTTCCTGTAATGAGGTGACCAGAACTGGACACAATACTCTAGATGTAGCCAAACCACTTTTGTATAGCTGGAGCATAACTTCACGGCTCTTGAACTCGATCCCTCTATTAATGAAAGCTAATACACCATATGCCTTCTTAACAACTCTATCCACCTGGGTGGCAGCTTTCAGGGAACTGTGAACATGAACCCCAAGATCCCTCTGCTCCTCCACACTGCCAAGAATCTTTCCGTTAACCCTGTATTCTGCTTTCAAGTTTGTCCTTCCAAAATGAATTACCTCACACTTTTCAGGGTTAAACTCCATCTGCCACTTCTCAGCCCAGCTCTGCATTCTATCAATGTCCCTTTGTAACCTAGAACAGCCCTCTGCACTGTCCACAATGTGACCCACCTTTGTATCGTCCGCAAACTTGCTAATCCACCCTTCCACTCCTTCATCCAAATCATTTACAAAAATCACAAGTAGAAGAGGACCGAGGACAGATCCTTGTGAATACACCACTCGTAACTGAGCACCACGTTGAATATTTTCCGTCCACTACCACCCTTTGTCTTCTAAGCGTCAGCCAATTCTGAATCCAATCTGCCACATTTCCCCCTATCCCATGCCTCTTTACCTTCTGCATGAGCCTACCATGGGGAACCTTATCAAACGCCTTGCTTAAATCGATTGTATACCACATCCACTGCTCTACCTTCATCCACGTGTTTGGTCACCTCTTCAAAGAATTCAGTAAGGTTTGTGAGGCATGATCTACCCCTCACAAATCCATGCTGACTATCACGAATCAAACTGTGCCTTTCCAAGTGATCATAAATCCTATCTCTTAAAGCCCTTTCCAATAATCTGCCCACCACTGACGTAAGACTAACTGGCCTGTAATTTCCGGGGTTATCCCTGTTCCCTTTTTTGAACAAGGGAATGGCGTTTGCCTCTCTCCAATCTTCCGACACTATACCCGTGGACAGTGAGGACGAAAAGATCATCGCCAAAGGCCCTGCGATCTCTTCCCTCGCTTCCCATAGAATCCTTGGATAAATCCCATCAGGCCTGGGGGACTTATCTATCTTCAACTTCCTCAAAATTCCTAGCACATCTTCTTTACTAACATCAACCTCCTCTAGCCTACCAGCCTGTTTCACACTGTCCTCCTCTACAACTAGGTCCCTCTCAGTTGTGAATACTGAAGAAAAGTATTCATTAAGGACCTCTCCTATCTCTTTAGGCCCTGTGTACAAATTCCCTTTACAATCCTTGATCGGCCCTACCCTTTCTTTGGTCATTCTCTTATTCCTCACGTAGATGTAAAAAGCCTTGGAGTTTTCCTTGATCCTATCCACCAAGGTTTTCTCATGCCCCCTTAGCTCTTCTAAGCTCTTTCTTCAGCTTCTTCCTGAATAACTTGTATCCCTCTAGAGCCTTTTCCGTTCCTTGTTTCCTAAACCTTACATAAGCATCCTTCTTCCTCTTAACCAGTCGTTCGACCTCTCTTGAGAACCAAGGCTCTCTCACTCGACCGCATCTTCCCTGCCTGCTAGGGACAAACATATCGAGCACACACAGTATGCATTCCTTAAACAATCTCCACATTTCTGTGGTGCTCTTCCCTGACAGCATCTGTTCCCAATTTATGTTACCCAGTTCTTGCGTAACAGAATTGTAATTACCCTTCCCCCAATTATAAACCTTACCCTGCTGTATTGTACCTATCCTTATCCATGACTATTGTAAAAGTAACAGAGTTATGATTGCTACCACCAAAATGCTCTCCTACCAACAGGTCTAACACTTGGCCCGGTTCATTGCCAAGCACCAAATCCAAAGTGGCCTCTCCTCGTGTTGGTCTATCTACATACTATGTCAGGAATCCTTCCTGAGCGGACTGGACAAAATCTGCTCCATCTAAACTATTACAACTAAAATGTTTCAAATCAATATTTGGAAAGTTGAAGTCACCCATGACTACAACCCTGTGACTTCTGCACCTTTCCAGTATCTGCCTCCCAATCCGCTCCTCTACTTCTCTGCAACTGTTAGGGGGTCTGTAAAAAAAAAAAAAAAAAAAACCCCAACAAAGTGACTTCTCCTTTCTTGTTCTGGATCTCAACCCAAACTGACTCTGTAGACATATCATTCTCTTGTTGGTTCGAAGAAAGTGAAAAATTGGCCAGCTCCCTTACTGAAACAGGGTTGTAAATTACCTTCATTAACTTTCTAGTATCTAATACTTTGCAATATGTATTGCATTCATTTGCATAGAAGTAGATACATTTACTAAGTACAATTTACTTCAGTATGATTGATTTGTGGTTACGTGTACCAAAATACAGTGAAAAGCTACAGCAAGCGAAGGATGTACAGATCAAAAAAGTTTAGAGGTTACATTGCAGGTTACATTATTTGAGGCTAGGGTCCATTCAACAGTCTGATAACGGCCAGAAAGAAGCTGTTCCTGAACCTGCCCGTGCATGTGTTCAGGCATCTGTATCTTCTGCCTGAAGGAAGAGGTTGTAGGAGGTCATTACCAGGGTGCAGTGGGTCTATAATGATGTTGGTGTATCTAATATGTATCTTTGATGTATCTAATATGAAGTAAAACGGCTCATCCTGATGTTGAAATTGATACCACAATAGTTATGGATTTTTTAAATACCTTCAGTATTTCTGTTGTAATTTGGCCAAATAGTGACGTAGCTTCAATGTAATATTTGGTCCTTTTCACCCTGACCTGTTTTTGAACTCCAGGGAGTAACAAGGGGAAAGTTGATATCCAAGCCTATTTGAAACAGTGGCATGAGGAGCTGACAAGGAAAGAAGAAAGTATCCGAAACTTGCCCCGGATAAATCAGGTGACGGTGTGACCTATTTCACTGTTTGCACTTGCCGCATTTTTGGCAATATCTTTCTGTGGCGCCAAGTGTTGCTGATGAGATAGAGATCTTTGGACAAGTTGACTTTTACAAAAAAGCAGGAACGGAGATTTTGAATTAACAGCCCTTATTGGCCTCGTCTGTCCTTTCCTGAAGTCTGAACCCTATGCTCCCCGGTACTATGACTTGGCAGATTTTCTCATTTTCTGCTCCATGTTCAGTCACAGTCAAATTGACTCCTCCACTGAAAAAATGCTCCCCTAAACCATAAACTTAAAGCAAACTTACTGCAGAAGTTGGAAATCTCTTTCCACAGATGATGCCAGACTTGCTGAGTTTCTCCACTTTTGGTTTCTATTTTCCTCCTAAATCATTACCCTCTGCGATCTATTCCATCTCCTTTAAAGCTTTCTTAGAACCTAGTGTTTAGGCTGCATGAAACTCTCGTATCTACCTGCTCATTGTCCAGATCTACTTCTATCAAGATTTTTAAGGATGATTTATAATGCTAACGATGCTGTAATCAATATAAACTTGCTGCTCTTCCCATGCAATTCTCCTGAGCACTAATGATTGCATAGTCCGTAACCAGCAGCTTTAATACTTGAATTCAAATCTATAATTTGGCCTACTTCCTTTCCGCTCCACAATTGTAAGATTCATTATCTGTAAGCAGTAATCATTTGGTAGTGACCTGTAATTATACACTAGCTAAAGAAATTTTAAGCAGATAACATTGTCACCGTCAGAATTTAAAGCAAGCTATGAAGGAAAGAGAAACCATCTTCTGTGCTTTTTAGGGTGAAGGTGTTTCCTTGCACTGCAATGACAATATTTTTATCTTTTAATAAGTTTATTCATAGTACACCTGAAGAGCATTTCACTTACTGTAAATCGTTAAAACAAAATGAATACAATGAAAACCTATATTAAAAGCAGAAAAGCTGCTGGTCCGAAGCAGGTTAGTTGGCCAATAGCAAGGATTTCACACCAACGATTGTCCTCCAACTGTGGTGCCATCTATAGATTTGAATACCCTGCCATTAATCCAATTTTGATTCACAAATCAAAATTGGCCCTCATGCCAAAGCCTGTGTGGATTTATGCCTTAGGAAAAACTTTAGCAAGTACAGGGAGAAAATTTATAATCTGCAATGCAATCGCTGAAAACTAAAGATATCAGATGGAATGCTTTCTGTCATGTCCAAAAGTTCATGATGCATTATAGTGGCACGGTGGCTCAGTGATTAGCACTGCTGCCTCACAGCGCCAGGGACCAGGTTCGATTCCACCCTTGGGTGACTGTCTGTGTGGAGTTTGCACATTCTCCCTGTGTCTGTGTCGGTTTCCTCCGGGTGCTCCGGTTTCCTCCCACAGTCCAAAGATGTGCAGGCTAGGTGGATTGGCCATGCTAAATTGCTCATAGTGCCCAGGGATGTTTAGGTTAGGTGGGTTAGACATGGGAAATGCAGGTCTGGTTGGGATGTTCTTTGGAGGGGCGGTGTGGACTTGGGCCAAGTGGCCTGTTTCCACACTGCAGGGAAACTATGATTCTATGACTCCAGATGTCAGCGGTCAGAAGGAGGGAGCCTTGGCCATTCACTTGAGCTTAATTATTGTAACCCCAGTAGATCAGCTGATGTGAGTGAGCATGGCTTGATTTTAGAGTCTCCCAGGTCTGTTTCACATTGCAGTACTTTCAGTTGAGCCATTTGGGGAGTTGAAATGCAGCCATTGGGCACATTGCCATGTAACAACAGTTGCATGTGACTACACTTCAATAAAACAAAGAACTGCGAATGCTGGAAATCTGAAACAAAGCAAAGTTCTGGAGAAACTCCCATGTATCTGTAGAGAAAGAGAGAAACGGCGTCAATGTTATGAGTCCAGTGTTCTGATGAAGCATCACTAGACTCGACACATTAACTCTGTTTCTCTCTCTTCACAGATGCTTGCAGACGACCTGAGTTTGTCCGACATTTCCTGTTTCTATTGTGACCATACCTCATTGGACGCAAAACACTATTAAATCCATTTGAGGATGCAAAGAAACATCATAGCTGTTAGGTTTCACATGAACCCAAATCCACGTCATAAAGCAGATTTTAACCAAGAGTGCTGTATTGTCCTTCTACATTTTGGAAATGAAAATAAACTACTTAAGCCACACGAGCAATTTATATTGGATGCTGGAAATTTCTCAAACTGAAACTGTGAAAGCACTCAGCTTGTGGTTTTCATCTGCCTTTCTTCCGCCACCTTTCCAGACTGCAGGAGCCCCCAACCCTCTGCCAGATTTTTTGTGCTTCTATCCTCCAGTTCTGCTTGTAATTTTCTGTGGACCCGTGTTTTCTTTGTGCATCTAATTAGCACTCATTTCACCTTGTGCTACAGTCCCCGTTTTATCATTTAATTACATATGCTGTCCACTTTAGTACAGAGGCTACCCTTTTATTATTTTAACATTTAACCATCGTATCCCCCACCCGCATCTCAATTCGCAGGCTGTATGTTTGCTTGAAAGCTATTTCTTTCTTAACCTTTTCCAGCATTGTTGAATGATCTGTACTTTTCCTCTCTGAAAAGACATTGCTTGCCCCCTGAGTATTTTCAGAATTTTGTATTCTTACTCGGATTCAGTATTTGGTTGCTCAACACCTTTGCTAATGATTCCTAGCTTTTTGAGATTGGAATAGACCTTCCATCAATGTAAACACAAAGACTTGTTACCAAAAATTTCTTTCATGTACCTGATGGCATTTGTGCTTATTTTTACTTTCCCAGTCGCAATTTGTTCAATTCTCCAAGACGCTATATAACCTATTCCATGGAGATCCGAATGAAGAGGCACTTTTTCGAGCCATAACGACTGTCACTGGCCTTTTGCTTCGAATGGAGGAGGTGGGGAGAATGCTGAACAGTCCAAACTCTCCCTCCCCAAATAAACAAGGTACAATTCAAGATTGCCAAAGTGGTGACCGTATTCAGGAGAACCAGGCATTAAACATGAGTGAAGATAATGCTCAAGAAAGACAATCTGAGATTGAGTGGACCTTTGCCTTTGAACAGATACTGGCCTCGCTGTTAAATGAACCGGTTTTGGTTAGTTTTTTTGAGAAACATGTAGATATAAGGGCAAAAATAGAACAAGCCAAATCTGTTCAACTAAGGGCTAAAAGACAGTCGAATGCCATTGATTGAGATTGTTCTTATGCCATATTCAGCTGTTGTGATGATGCAACAGCTCACAAGCTTTGAAAATTCTGTTGCTGATGACAGCAGGCAGAAGCGTAAGCTGTTTTGCCTGAGGTTTGCTGTTATTTAAACACAGTCGTTGACATTATATTAATGGCTCTGCTAAAATGACGTGGAGGGAAGTTGCACAGATGCGCACAACAATTTTTCCAGGCTGAAGCCCTATTTTGCTATGTATACATATGCATATTATATATATGTAAGTTTGTTACATAAACATGTTGAACACAAGCTATGAGTCACAAAGCAACTATTGCCTTCTTGCTGTTGAGGGTTTTAAAAAAAAACTTTTGTTTACATGCACTGATTTCAGGTGACGTAAGAAGGCTCACATAAAACAAGTACCTAAATGATAAAGGAGGACACATTTCAATTATTTCTGATTTGAAACCAAGTTCAGTCTAAAACGTCAAACTGTTCCTGATTGTCACTGGTAGAATGTATCAGATTGACACGTATTCCCATGAGCTGTGTTGTTTTTTTGTACACTAACAATGGAATTCTGAGGAGAGGTTCCATACAATTTCCTATTCATGCCAGGGGATTGAGTCAAAAGAACTGTCGCTGTACTTTATGGATTCTGGCATGTTCTCGGCAAATTGAAGGAGAATACATTTTCCTTATTTATACTTAAAAGTGTTTTTTTAATTGTGATAGGCTATTTGTAGCTCATATAACTCTAATAGAAAAGGGAATATTTACAATAAGATATGTCCTGTATTTTTGAAGTATGCTGCACACTTGTACACTTTCAAATGTTTTTGTTAATCTATTTTGGCTTCTTTCTTGCTTTGAAAGTATTTTTTATGAAACTAAATTAGAGCACCCAATATAAAAATAACAATACTGAAGCTATTGATTTGCTCTTGATTCTGATGTCAAGATTTGGTAGTAATTGTAATCAACTGAAAATGTGAAGTTTTCAAGCATTCGGCTTTCCAGTACGGATGTCTTGGGAATTAGCATTAGTTTTATAATTACACCTTGATTTAATTGCTTATTTTCAATGAAGATAATGCAATGTCCTTATTAAAGTAAAATGAACACAGTTTTTATATAGCCACATGAGAAGGTAAACACTATATATATAATCAGCTCGTGCTAGAGAGGACTATTAGGAAAAGTTAATCTCAAATCCAAGAAAGCAATTTACTGAAAGTTTCTTTTTAAGCTTAAAAAAAAATCTAGTTTTCAAGGACAAAATGTTTGTGCCAAACACTCAGGCACTTGCGATGTTGTGTATACAGAATGTGTACTCCATTGACTGGTGAGTCTTTCTGTCTTTAGTCCTTTATTGTACTGAAAGCCTTGTCTAAAGAGTAGATCTAAAATAAATATTTTGATTTCCAGTTCACTTGGTTTTCACAAATTGTGTTTTCTAGTTCTCTTTATATTTGCTTTCTAATAAAAGAACATTGTTGACTGGCCTAAGTGGTAGAATATCGATTTTTGTTTAAGTAGGTAAAATGACTTCTAAAAGGTCGTCAAATTATATTCTTGCCCCAGTATATATGGCATCTTGCTAGCATTTATGTTTATCAGTTCATAGCCACTGTGACAATTAAAACCTGATAGTTGAAGTAGAGGAAATACAAACTTCAGCATTTCTAATAGCAGCAAAATGAATGAGGATAAGATGAAAAATAGCTAAAAGTGACACCAAGCTGGGTTGGTATGTTATCATGTGCTGTGGATCTATTTCTTTTGATTATTTTTATTTCTCTGTCTCTGGTTAATCTCTCATTATTTTATCAACTGGAAAAAATGCTAGCAAATTGAGAGATATTCATCCCTTTCCAATAAAGTAAGCTGAATTTTAGCTAGAATATGTACAAATGAAATTATTGTTGATTAACTCTATAGGTTTCCGCGCGTGTGTGTGTGCGTGGTGGCAGAGTAGGACACTCCGATTGGAGCTCCTCTGCTCACCAGTCCCTTTACCTCTTTTCCATCCTTTTTTTCCCTCTTTGTGGATTTCCAATTACGCCCCCCACCCCGGTACCTGGAGAGTGGAGTTGCGGAACGAGCAGTCTGTGTTCCGTGGCAGAACAGAATGAGCGGACCGTGTCCTGCGGTGGACCGGAGCAAGTGGGCAGTGTCTCATGGCAAACCAGAGCAAGCAAGGGCTGAGTCCTGTGGCAGAGTGAGCACGGGCAGAACAGAGCAAGCATGGCCCGAGTCCGCCAGTGGAACCAGCACGGGCAGTGTGGCCTTCTGCGAGTCTGCAGGCACGGCCCGTGGGCCACAGAGCACAGTGGGCACTGACCCTGGAGCAGCACATGGGAAACAGCCCCGGAGCAGTGCGTAGGCAGTGGGTCCTGGACGGAGACCTGTGTGAGGGGGCAATCCTGCCACTTACCTTAGAGCAGCTGAGTGCTGGTTTGGAGAGGAATGGGGCTTAGAGCGGAACAGGGATGGCTGTTGGACTGCGGCCTGGCGTGGGTGGTCAGACTACGTGTGGAGGTCCTACGCTGAGCCACGACACTTTATCATCTATTTAAAATTTCCTACCTTACTGTAATGTTAACCTTTTAATATTTCCCAATTTGAACTTATTTTTCAACTCTAAGTAATGCAACTACTTTTATTCCTCTACTGTATCCAAGAATTGTACCCAGGTACTTTTACTTCAGATGTTGCCATAAGAAAGCAGACATTGTAAAAATTTTTCACTGTACTCCTGCAATGGAGTACACGTGACAATGAAAGGATATTGTATTGTGTGTTTTACATATATATTGCTGAAGAAAACATTTTGTCAAAGCATTTTATTTTGCACTCATTTGGACAATTCACAAGCAGTAAATAATGAGAAGAGAGTGTTGCTTAGTTGATGAGTGGACTGAAACATTACCATGGAAAACACACCAGTTAATGGTGATTGACAGTTAACTGCCAATCTTTGTTTAAATTTGAAACCAGATGCAGCGACTCTAATTGATTCATCTGATGTCCTAAAAAAATGAGCCAAAGACTTGCTGTCATCTATTTAGTTGAGGTGAAATAGGTGCAGTGTGTGTACGTAGATAACACAGTATGGAGCTGGAAGAACATAGCAGGCCAGGCAGCAACAGAGGAGCAGGACTGTTGACATTTCAGGTCGGGACGCTTATTCAGACATGGTGGAGGGGGAAGGGAGCTCAGAAATAAACACAGAGAGGAGGGATGGGGCTGGGGAAGGTAGGTGGGTTGGTGATAGGTGAGTGGAGGTAGGGAGTGGTGGAGATTGGTCAGTGGGATGGGAGAGGTGGATAGTGGGAGAGAAGATTGACAGGTTGTGTCAGGTCAAGGAGGCGGGGATGAGAGGGAGGGTTGGACATGGGATGAGGCCAGGGGTGGGGAGATTTTGAAACTGGTCAATTCCATATTTAGGCCATCAGCCTGTAGGCTCCCAAGGCAGAATATGAGGTGCTGCTTCTCCAGTTTGCAGGTAGTGTTAGTGTGACACTGGAGGAGGCTCAGAATGGACATGTCATCCAGGGAGGGGGAGTTAAAATGGTCGGCGACCGGAAGATGTTGTCATTTGTCACATGCAGATGCTTTACAAAACAGTCTCCAAGTCTGCACTTGGTCTCACTGATGTACAGGAGGCCACATCGGGAGCAGCAGTTACACTGCTCTGTAGTTCTTGCTATCTCTCAGTGTGTGTGTATATTCTTTCTGACTGCAATGACAAATTGACTGGCATATCGTATGAAGGGATGTATCACTTCAGCTTTTTTCACCAAAGAAATTACTGGCCGTATCCAACCAGCCTGGGTTATACAAACACTGTGCCCATTTCACTCAGCAAAAGAGCTAGAACATAGAACATAGAACATTACAGCGCAGTACAGGCCCTTCGGCCCTCGATGTTGCACCGACCTGTGAAACCAATCTGAAGCCCATCTAACCTAAACTATTCCATTATCATCCATATATTTATCCAATGACCATTTAAATGCCCTTAAAGTGGCGAGTCTACTACTTTTGCAGGCAGGGCATTCCACGCCCTTACTACTGAGTAAAGAACCTACCTCTGACATCTGTCCTATATCTATCACCCCTCAATTTAAAGCTATGTCCCCTCGTGCTAGCCATCACCATCCGAGGAAAAAGGTTCCCACTGTCCAACCTATCTAATCCTCTGATCATCTTGTATGTCTCTATTAAGTCACCTCTTAACCTTCTTCTCTCTAACGAAAACAGCCTCAAGACCCTCAGCCTTTCCTCATAAGACCTTCCCTCCATACCAGGCAACATCCTGGTAAATCTCCTCTGCACCTTTTCCAATGCTTCCACATCCTTCCTATAATGCGGTGACCAGAACTGTACGCAATACTCCAAGTGCGGCCGCACCAGAGTTTTGTACAGCTGCAACGTGACCTCATGGCTCTGAAACTCAATCCCTCTACCAATAAAACCTAACATACCGTACGCCTTCTTAACAACGCTATCAACCTGGGTGGCAACTTTCAGTGATAAATCAGTGGCAATCCTCTGCTTCATTTCTTGCAGCAATGTTTTGTGTGTCATCTCTGACTCCAGCATCTGCAGTGATGTGAACATGAATTGATTGACTTCACTTAAAAAGTAAAAAGTAAACATAGCTTGGCAGTCAACTGAGAGTCATAATCAACAGGTGCATTCTCCATGGCTCTGTGTCTACCAATCGGAGTCCTCTTGCCAACCAATGACACTGTCTCTTGAATAGTACGCATTTTGTTTTCCCCTTTACATTGGTATTTGTTGTGAATCAGCCCGATGTGAGCAAGGTGAAAACGTTCGACAAAACGTGCTTCATTTTCAGCAATGCTCAAATTCTGTACTACCAAACACCAAATCAGTCATTCTGAATAAATAACCAAAAATTCTCACCCTTGTCCAAAACTGGAATTAGACACAAAATCGACTTATGTGCACAATGGGGGTTACTCTGTTTCCTGCCCAGGTACTCGTCAGTCATGACTGAAGGCAGTGACTGAACTCTGATCTAGATTCCCTAAGTCCTCCTTATGATGTATAGACAAGAGAGCGTTAAACAAAACTTTGCCTAATAAATAGTTAAGAAGTAATTCATGCGATGAGAACCTTATAAAGAGGATGACTTTATTTTTTCAACTAGAATAATACTGAGGTGGATCCTGAGGTTCTGGTGCTTGTAGCAGTGCAATAGAATTGAGGTGATTTAGGGCAATGTACAAAGACTGTATTGCTGTCTCAAAATGATTATGTGAACACAAAACTGCACAACCGGCATGATATGTTGATTGACAAAGATGTGCACAACATTTGAGCTGTAGGAACAGTTAAACCTACAGCATCTTTTGCTTGTGTCATAAAAGATCAGATTTGTTCTCATTTATGATATAATATTACTGATAAAGTTCAGGAACATTTCATATTGGCTTATGTGCGCTTTCAATCTAGGTTCGTGGATGATGTACGAGATGCACGTTGCTCTTAATCATAGACTGAGAATGATGGGATGGAAGGCTTGCTAACCCAGAACCTGAGCTTTAAGCAATTTGTCAATCTCTCTTGGTACTTGAATGGGTGGTGTATGTGTGGAAAATGTGAACAGATGCAGGAAGAGAGTTTTTTGTGAGGTTGATGTTTACTCATACTGTAGCAAGCTGAGACGGTCTTCACTCTGTACCTAATCATTTAGAGTGATTCATTTAGTCACATTCTGTAGTCCTTTCTCCATACAGAATTAAGTATTTCTCAATTTTTTTTTAAAAAAACCATGTATCCATTCCCCAATCCCTAACATTTCATTTTCTTTCCTATTACTGAAACGTACAAACTTATGTGGGCTAATGTATGATGCATAATACATAACTGTTCTGAAATAGAAACAAAAGAATTGTAGATGCTGTAAATCAGGAACAAAAGCAGAAGTTGCTGGAGCTCAGCAGGTCTGACATCGCCGGTGAAGACAAAATCAGAGTTAACGTTTCGGGTCCGGTGTTCTGAGGAAGGATCACCGGATCCGAAACGTTAACTCTGATTTTCTCTTCACAGGTACTGCCAGACCTGCTGAGCTTTTCCAGCAACTTCTGATTTTGTTCTGAAATAGAGATATTCTCTCACTGGAATTGTGATAGTGGCAGATGCGTGAAGTGCTCCAATTTGCTGATTCGCTGTCAGCATTATCTCATCAACAGCATGGAAAGTTCTAAGATGGAAGGTTGTGATTTGAGCTGTTCTTCAGAGATCTGAGCGTAAACTCTAGGCTGATCCTTGAGTATCGTACTGGAGGTGCTGTACTTTAAGGTGAGGTAAGGTGCTTTCAGACAAGTTGTTAAACCAATCTGTTTCTACCTCCATCTGACACCATTTGAAAAGAGTTCTCATGTCCTGATCATCATT